CCCCCTGTTTGTGTTCCCTCTCTCATGTGTCTCTCTCTGTCAAATAAATAAATAAAATCTTTAAAAAAAATAAAAATATATATATTCTTAATTCTTTTCACAAGTCCCCTCATCTAATATGTAGTGTAGCGTCTCAAATCCTTTTACCTAGAGCCTTCCCTCTAGGTCTCCTCTTTGGAGCTCTTTTGTCCTCTCACTGCAATCTGGATCGATGCTCTCTAGGTCTGATATGCAATAGGCATCCTGAAGTTTTTCTTCCTCACCCTTCTAAGTTAGAGCCTCTGTTGATTAGTGCCTGGGTTTCCTCTTTCTTGGTTTCCTCTCACTTTGTTTGAGCACATCCTCCTTTAGCGTCCACGAAAGGGTGTGAGAGATACATTTTCTGAATCCTTGTATGATTCTTGTGTTTGTTTGTTTTTTTCTAATTTCTGGAAACTAATAATACATTTTTTGTATCCAGGCTCTAAAATGTTACAAGTACCTCATCTCACAAATATGACTCAAAATGGATAACAGAGCTAAATGTAAAAGCTAAAACTTTAAAACTTCTAGATAAAGCACAGGAGAAAATTTTGTGATGTTATGTTAAGAAATGGTTTAGACCCAGAAACATAGACAATAAAAGAAGAAAAACAAATACATTAGACTTTATGAAAATTAAAATGTTTCCATTTTGAAAGTCACCATTAAGAAAATGAAAAAGCAAGACAGAATGGAAGAAAATGTTTTCAATGCAAGTATCAGACACAGGACTTGTATCCATACAGAGAACTCTTTCAACTCAATAAGAAGAGACAGTTAACTTAATTAAAAATGTGATAAAAGATTTAAACACAGAGTTCACATAAGAAAATATATGAATGGTCAATAGGCAAAAGGAAAGATGCTAATTCTCGTTAGTCATCAGGGAAATGGAAAAGAAAACTACAATGTGATAGCAACCAATGCCTATGAGAATGGATAAAATTGAACAGATTTACAGTACAAATATTAAAAGAATGTGGAGCCACAGAAAAGCTCATATAGTGAAATTGGCAGTTTTGTTAAAAGTTAAACTTTTACTATATGACTCAGCCATTCTTCTTCTGGGTATCTATTCAAGAGAAACAAAAAAATATTCCACATAAGCCCTGTACACAAATATATTTATATCTTTATTTGTAGTAGCCCCAAACTCGAAACACCATAAATGTCCATCAGTGGATGCCTAGACAGACAAAATGTGGTCTATCTGTACAATGAAATACTTCTCAGTAATTAAAAGGAATGAGATATTAATATATATAACAACATCAGAGAATTCCAGTCATTATGTTTAGACTGAAAGAAGCCAAACACTGAAGAATATATATGATTCTATTTATAATTCTAGAAAATTGGGCTATTATTTTAAAAAGTCCTTATCTTTTAGAAATACATACTTAAATCATATTAATTTCTGATATTTCCTTCAAAATAATACCAGAGAGGGGAAATGGGTGAGCTCATAGTTGAAACAAGATTGCTTATACCTTGATAATTACTAAAGCTGGATGGTGGGTACAAGTACATGGGGGTGGGAAGAGGGCTTATGTTTTTCTGTTTATATTTGTATGTGTTTACAATATTCCATGATAAAAAGATGTGTAGATCTTCTAAGTTAGCAGTTTCACTTCTAGGAATTTATCTTAAGGAACTTCTTGGGGGTATGAACAAACAGTCCACAATAAGGTTCAATGTAGTATCGTTTGTTAATTGGAAACAACATAAATACGTAATAGGAATTTGGTTGAATAAATTGATACATTTGTATGATGTAATACCAACATGGAATTCAAAATTATGTCAGAAAATCATGGTGAGCACCGGGTGATGGATGGAATTGTTGAATCATTATATTGTACATCTGAAACTAATATAACACAGTATGTTAACTAACGGGAATTAAAAAGTTAAAAAAATTATGTCAGAAAAATATTACATGAGAAAATATTTGTGATATATTTTTAAGTTGAAAAAAATTTTGCAGGCTCCAAAACAGGATGTTTACACATACCTGTTTTTGAATCTTATAAAAAGTAAATTTATGTGTGTTGTATGTGTACATCTGTATGTGTGTGTGTGTAGAGTGAAACACTGGAAGGATATATAATTTATATCCCCATAATTTTCAGAAAAAGTTTTTTGGCAATAGAGTCTGTCTTGTTTTTTAATTAAAAAAATGAATATTTTTGCTTTAATATGGTAACAGTACAATAAGTATAAAACTTCACTGTAAAAGATTTTATTATGTTTCCTTATTTATTTCCTTTATTATTTGGTTACTATTTATTTTGGTTAGACCTCAGTGTTTAGTACATTACTTGGTACATGGTAGGCCCTCAATAATAATATTCAGTAGATAAGAATTAGGGTTTATATTTACAAATTAAAAAAAAATTCTGACTTTTTCTTATTTTCTTTGAAGAACATGTATTACTTTTTTAAATCAGAAATTCACTATGAAAAAGTGGACAGTTTTAACAGGTAAGTTTCTGTCTTCTCTTGAGATGTAATAAACTGAAATATCCTCCTTAAAACTTCCTATGAAATCTGAAATATAGATATTTGTTCAGCATCTTTTTATTTTTGTTTTTTTCTAGTTTCATCTCTCGAACTTCTTCAAATAAAGAAGTGGTTATAAACGGTAAGACCTGTATTTACCTGTATGATTCCTTGAAGGGTTGAGGAGAAGGGTGTTGTTTGTGTTGGGCTTCACTGAATACTGGTGATTGGGGCAGGAGTCTCACATGTAAAAATCTCTTAAACTGGTGTATTCCAAATTATGAGCCAGAAGAGGCTCAAGCCTGGCATATTTTACGGTGCTTAGCATTTTAGTATCATTCAGGTACATTAATAAATCAGTGACATTTAGCCTTTGTACTCATATCATTTATTTGACAGATCAGCAGAGTAATGGAGACATGAATCCAATCCAGAATTTCACAACAATACCAATCACACAGGTATGGATATGTTAGGAAACTAGGTTGTGTCTTTAAAAAAAATTTTTTTTAAACACATTTCAATCAGGTCAGAGCAACTGTGAAAATATGAATAATACTTTTGTTAATAACTAACATTTTTAAGTTTTGGGTGGGGAAATGTATTATAGTAGTCTTCTCGTAAATAAAAAACTAAAGCTATACTTCCTCTTGTATATTTTCATTACAATACTCAGTTTTACTTTAGTTGCTTTCCAGACAGGATCACTATAGTAACAGTTTATCTTTGGTTCCTGGTAAGCTTGGATTGCTGCTGCCTCTTTAATTTCTCTTTTATCTGTACTAACATTGGAGTAATCGGTATGGACTAGTTGATCCAGATAAGTAGATCTTCGGTCAGATATTTGTGACTTCTAGAGTCAAGTACTGAAGTGCATTGTCTCAGGCTGCCTCAGGTTTCATAAGATGAAGAATGATGTTAGAAGACCCTGCTAGTTTTTGTATGTTACACGATCTGGACAGACTGTCTAAGGCAGTAGCCCCTAGCCACATGGGGCTATTTAAATTTAAATTCAAATGAAATAATGTTAAATAAAATTAAAAATTAGTCTCAGTTGCACTGGCCCCATTTCCAGTGCCATGCTAGCTACAGAAAGCCAGTGACGGCTACACGGCACAGTGCAGATATAGAACATACCCAGTGTTCCAGAATGTTCTATAGGATATTAGTGGTCTGGAGAATTAGGCTTGATAGCTAGAAACCTCTTGTTATGTTTGTTTGCTTAACATATTAATTTCTTTATTTTAAAATCTTGCCTTATTTGGGTTCCTATTTTCTGAAGAGATAGATTACTGCCATTAGTTCATGGCATGGTGAATTTTTGTTTTTAATTCCTAGACTTTTTTTTTTTTTTGAGCAGTTTTAGGTTTACAGAAAAAATTGAACAAAATAGAAGGTTCCCATATGCTCCCTCAATCCCTCCCCCTCTTGAGTTTCCCCTTTGTTTAACATCTTGTGTTATTGTGGTATATTTCTTAAAGTTGATGAGCCAATATTGATACATTATTATTAAGTACAGTCCATAGTTTACGTTCAGATTCACTCTTTGTGTTGTACATTTTATAGGTTTTAACAAATGTATAATGATATCTACCTACCATTACGGCATTTTACAGAATAATACTTTCATGGCCCTAAAAATCTGTGCTCCACCTATTCATCCCCACTCTCTCTCCCAGCCTGGAAACTTCTTGAGTCTATATTGCTAATATTATTATTTGCAAAGTCGGCTTTTTTTTTTTTTTAATAATTTAGTCCTTTCCAATTTGGGTGCTTTGTGGAACTAGGCTTATATACCTTTCAGATATATCTATCAATTTTGGCTTGTTAAATGATTAAGATGGGCCCACCTATCATCTCCTTTGTCCTACAGTAACATGGACTCTGGAGTGAGAAAGATGAAAGTTTCAACAGGTTGTAAATTAGTCCTTTTACTCCAAGAAGCCTTTTGTGCCATGGAAACAAACCCGTCTCTTAAATTTTGTTTATTTGGTTAACTAGACTCTCAACTACACTCTGAGCAGACAAGGACATTTAGAAAAAGAACCTTGGAATGCATTCAGCCATCATAGCCCAGTCAATGTCTCCATGGATGGAATTCCCTGCATTCTTTTCTGGGCCAAAGGAATAACAGTAAAATTTAAGAATCAGACCTGGCTGGACCTTACAGATGAAGCTTTTGGCCAGACGGCAGCAGTGGACATTAGCAACTCAAATTGCAGTGAAGAAAGTGCCATGTAAGTTGATTGCTTTGCTGGAGGCCCTTAGGGCGATTGTAGTCTGTTAACTGGGCCGTCAAGTTTTCTGACGATTCAGAAAATGGTACAGGTAGGATCGTTTGTAGTGAACTTGAAACACATCTCTTATGAAATGTTTAATGTCTAAAATAAAAGAAAAAAAAAATTTCCCCCAGCAGTTCTCTTGTTACATACCTTGAGGAAAATCAGAGTTGTAAAAGTGAAGGTTTTCCAAATTCATTCTGAAAAATGAACAGGATTCCAGGCTTGGTATCAACTTCAAATGTGAGGTATCATACTACTTTTGTCCTGGCAGGAGGAAATCATGTATCATGGAGCAGAGTCATACATCTTCTAGTGGGTGAAAAAAGAGAAGGCTGACTCTAGCCAGGGCAGATTTCTGATTCGAGGGAGTGTTCTGAAGTTGTGGGACGTTGCCAGTTTGCATATGTGCAAGGGTAGCTTTGAATGGCCATATTTCAGAGAATTCTTTAGGACATTTGTTCAAAATGATTTAATAATTCCTTTTGATTTGAGATAAGCAGATTAAACAAATATCCCTTTTGAAGAGGAAATCAATTTCCCGTACCTTTCTCTGCTTTCTAGTCATCCAAGCGAAAAGTTTTTGCTTGTATTTGTTTTGGTGGAGGAGGAATAAGTCTGGCATATCCCACTTGCTTTCTATAAATCTCCTTGCTTTCAAAATTTGCTGGTATAATGAAAGCTTTTGGAAGATTGTCTGCATTTGTCCTGGCCTGGTTTAGATGGACAGAATGCTTTGTGTACTCTGTGCGTGTGTGTGCACGTGTGTGTGGGCGGGGGGGGGGGGGTGTGGGTATTCATTTTATATATTTGGGCTGGAAATACTTTTTTACTCCTGAACTTTACTTTTCATTTAAAAATTATTGATGATGGGTAAAAGTGGATTTTATTAATATTACAAGTTTTAGTGAGTATCTTGCTATTCAGAATGATTATCTCTTATTAGGGAATTAAGGAATTGTAAGTATAAGCATCCAGAGTCCTCCCAGATTTGTTTATTCTGTGGCAGCACAGACTACCAAAGAGACTCCAGCACTGCTGAGAGCTTGGGACTTTTTTCTTCTGCTCTAATTAATTCCCTACAGGGCTCTTTATTTGTGGCCAGCTGCCTGGAGAGAGGCTGATTGCCTGGGGATCATCTTGCCTGTCTGTGGCTGACTGGCACACCTTGATTCCATTTATTCTTACCCCTGGGTATTTGTGGGGAAGATCAGCGCACCATACTTTTTTGCTGGGCTTTAGAAATCTTAATGATCACGGGGAACCCAGAGACAGAAAGAATGAAAACTTGGCTTCTTGTCCCAGTTCTGTCAGTGCAGTGCGCGTTGTGACTTTACAAATAGGAGCCGCCATAGGATCATCATCTAGGAATGGAGATGATGATATCTATTAATTGTAACAGGCCTGAAGCCTTGCCTTGGACCAGGCACAGTGCGAGGACTTGACAGGCACAATATCTGCTATTCCTCAGAGTAGTGTTGAGTCACAGACTGTTACCATCCAAAATCAAGCCTCCTAGAGGTTAAGAAACTTGATAAGATCACACAGCTTATTTGGTAATAGAGCTGGGGCCTAAAATGTCTTTAACAATGACATTTTACCTTCTCTTTCTTGGCCCTGTCTCATAGCACTGTGAAAATCAAACTGTGAAATGTATGCACGAGAACTTTGAGAACTCTTCAAGTGCTACTCGAAGTAGTAGTATTATCTTCCTAACATACTAACGATAACTAGCGTAAAATAGTGCCTATGCCTGGTTACCTGGTGGAGAGACCTAGGGAAGCTTTGGTTTTCACAATGCACAAAGGAATGATTTGGTGGGACCTGGTTTTCTTCTTGGTCACCACCTACATACTCTATTAGGATGAGTCTTGAGTGAGCAGCATCTACCTCCTGGAGTCCTGTTCAGGCGAGTGTGCGGACATCCTGGACAGCCCACCCATGGGGATGAATGGAAGGCTTCCCAGTAAATGAGGCATGCAGGGACCAGATACTGAGACCATCCCTCATTCCTGTGAATCATGCACATTAGTGAGATGCCTTTGCTGTGCTGGCAAGGAAATCTTAGGTTCTCAAGAACCAGAGAGGGAGTTGCTGACAGAAGAAATCCAAGTAAAGACATAACCATGTAAGGTCAAAAGCACAGATTAAAAAAAGGTGACCTTGTTTTAGTGCTTGGAAACAAAATGTTCAGGGAAAGGCAAGTTGTTGGCAGACAGATTTGCTACGGAAATCTTTTAAAATAGTGAATATAGAGCATAATCCGAGCATCTGGGGGTATTTTGAACTTAGGCAACTACAGTCTGAAGAATTCAGAGTCTCTTTTAAACATGGGAGGTTAGGGCGCTTGGAAGAGTAAAAGCAGCTCTTTTTTGAGTGACTTGCTAGATTGTATTTCTCCTTCGTGTTCCCAGGTTATGGTGCAGTGCCTGGCTCTTAGAAGAGTCTCACTGAATCGTTGTTGAATTTGCTTTGTTGAAATCAGGCATGTTCCTTACTCTGCAGCAGAGCATGTTAACAGCTCTCACTGAAACCAGGACTGCTGGAGAAAGCTCTTGGAGTGTCAGAAGCTTAGAGGCCATTGACCTGCTCCATCAGGAAAAGGGGACAGCAGTTAGGTGGACTCAGTATGGCCTTGCTTTGAGGTTTAGTTCATCAGCTACAGAGTCATTTTATGGATAGCTAAGCTATTCTGATTCCTTGGAAGAAGTAGAGAAATTTCTGTTAAAACAAGTGACCAAACTTGTAAAATACTATTCAAGAAATAAATTTTATTTTTTTAAAGTATTTTAAGTGCTTTGTAATAGGCTATCAGAATAGTCTTAGAGAAAGGCCCTTTTGGAGACCTGCTTTACTGAATAAATTAGCTTATAAAGTGTTCATAAATGAATGCTTCTAAGGTGTCTAAGCTTAACAATGTTAGGGAAAAAAGATAATTCTCTTAGTAACTTTATGTGGTTTATTTTGTAAATACCCTTCCCCTTTCCCCATAAATAGTATGACAATAAATTTCAGCTCAATCACTGACATTTCTGTTTCTTGATAAGTAGGACTAAATAAATGAGATTACATTTGTGTGATTTTTTTTCAAGCTTGTAATTGGACGTTTTATGGCTATCCACTTTTGCTTTTTTGGTTTTATAATGTATGTGGAGGTGTTATAACTTCTAGACATTATAATGTCACATAGCTGCATCATCCTTTCTGTATTTAAATTTTTCACATTTTCTCATTTCAGTTATTTAGCTTTTTCTCGTTCTTATTTTTCAGGCTTATTGAAATGTAAATAAAATACACTAAACTGCACATATTTAAAGTACACAGTTTGATCAGTTTTGACATATTTGTGCACCCACAAAACCATTACTACAATCAAAACAGCAAACATTTTCATCACCCTCCAAAGTTTCCTTGTGCCCCTTTGTAATCTTTCCCTCCTGCCACTCCGAGCCCTCCAGGTAACCACTGACCTGCTCTCTATAGTTATAGGTGAGTTTGCATTTTCTAGAATTATCTATAAATATAATCATATAGGGGCACCTGGGTGGCTCAGTTGGTTAAATGTCTGACTCTTAGTTTCGGCTCAGGTCATGATCTTGCAGTTGGGGAACTAAGCCCTGCTTGTGCTCAGTGCAGAGTCTGCTTCAGATTCTTTCTCCTTCTCCCTCTGCCCCTCCCTGCTCATACACACTCTCTCTAAAACGTATAAATAAAATCTTTAATAAATAAGTAAATATAGTCATAGGGTGTATACTCTTTTTTAGTCTGGCTTCTTTCACTTAGCTTGATGATTTTGATATTCTTTGACATTGTTACATGTTTCAAAGTGATGTTTCTTTTTAACTGCTGAGTAGTAAGTACTCCATTATATGGATGTACCACAACTTATTTATCCATCCACCTCTTGATGAAAATTTGGTTTTGCTCCAGTTTTTAAATAGCTTTCCAAGGAAAGTTGCTTTAAACATTCATGTACAAGGCTTCGTAGGAGTGTATATTTTCATTTTTCTTAAATACCTAGGAGTAGAATGGCTAGATCATATGGTATGTGCATGTTTAGCTTTTTAAGAAACCACCAAATTGTTTTTTAAAGTCATTGTACCATTTACCTTTCCACCAGCATTGTATGAGGAGGTTCCAGTTGCTTTACATCCTTACTGACACTTGGTATGGTCAATGACTGTAAAGAAAATATTTTTGTTTCTGCATAGTTAGCAATTTCTGAACAAATTTGACTGGGACTTGGGTTAAAAAATAAGCCTTGGGGTTAGTAAGAGATTTACCACCTTAGACCAATGTATTTACCTGTCAAGAAGTAATGAAAATCCAAATCAAAACCTCAATGAGGTATCACCGCACACCAGTCAGAATGGCTAAAATTAACAAGTCAGGAAATGACAGATGTTGGTGGGGATGCAGAGAAAGGGGAGCCCTCCTACATTGTTGGTGGGAATGCAAG